ACCATAGGGCAAAATGACATCAGTCCATTTGCGTCCTTTGGCTACAAAAAAAAATCTTCTTGGAAGACTTGAATAACGACAATGGACAACACCGAAATACATTGACCTATATCTTTTTATCCTACTTAGGGCATGTCCATCTGAAAACAATAGTAAGAAGACTTGGTGGTTCTTCACATTATAGCGCATATATGGCTGGCATCAGTGTTCTTTCGTTTCGCGACAACAGCATGGCAGAGATGTTCCACGGCCTGCAAGGACCAGAATCTTTACATGAACCGCATATATTTTGAAAAATTCAGGCCAAAAATCATTTCTAATGCGACGCTTTCTCTCATAAAAGCCATGCGTCTCCATTATAACAAAGCGAAACACTTACCGCGTACACTCCTCCATCCTGAGCTAGGAGATTGGCCTCCATATAGGTGGCGCGAATGTTTCGAGCCGTCTTTTCACCCATTTCACGGGTAACGTATCGCTGTGGAGCATCATCAGTTACATTTGCAAGCAGAACACAGGGTTTCTGAATTAGCACAAGCTACTATACCATGATTATTAGCATATATTATAGGGATATCAAATTATCTCAAAGTATCATATAAAGGTACAGCAATAATTTGTAAAAATTTGCAAGTTTGAGGGAAATTCTTTCCTTGACATTACTGGAATAAATTAGGAAGAAAGCTTTGACTCTAGCTATGGCATAAAACTTGCAAATCTTCCAAAGAATTTGTTGAACTCATCATTAAAGGGAAGAAGAAATATTAGAAAGTTTCTTTCTTTTTCTTCATTGCCTATTGACTAAATCGCACTGGAATTTGATTGCCAATGTTCCTTCCTGAAAATACCAAAATCACGCAAGAGAACCCACCTTCAACTCGCTAACGCCAGCAAGTTGCCGATTTATAGACATAGCCATAAGTAGGCTGGCAGAATCGGAAGTAGAATAGAGCAGTATGGCAGCATCTGCCGCTCGCATGTACGATGTATGGGCAACGGAATGATCATCCTACGCATTGAGTTAAGATATAGCGCAATAATTCAACATAATGGGTTACCTCAAACTCAGCATCGATGAGATCGATGACAAAATGCTGATGTCGTGCTTGGACAGTCTAAAATTTACGGAAAAAATAATTTTCTATCAAACCATAAGGAAACTAATTGAATAACAACTAACGATGCTCGTCATATGGGCGAATCTGTACTCGTTGTGATTCTGTTTTCCTCCCAAACGCATTCTTTCCGTCAAACCCATGGGGGCAACGCCATGCCGACCTTCACAGGAAAGAGTAGCATTGTCGAGCTGAAAGAAATAGTACATACAATAAGCAGTATAATAGTACAAGTTTTGTTAATAATGTGACGGTGTAGATAATATAAATATAATAGCAACATAAGAGCGTCTTATTTGAAGCATAAAAAGATTACACTTACGCAAGCGAATTTAAATTGAAAAAGATGTTTTGGTACGCAAACAGCTCAGTGCTAGTTTTCCGAGATGGCGACCCAAACGGGAAGGACAGCAACTCAAGGTACTATATTTGCTCGATATTTTTTCTAATGCAACAAGAAAG